GGTTCTGCTTTTCAGCAAGAAGTAAAACAGAGATCAAATCCGAGAACTTAGTGAACGTCTGAGCTCTATATTGTTGCTGCAGGACAATATTAGAAGCAGAGAAGGTCGAGTAGGTCTTCTCCAGGAGATCCTCTTCAGTCAAAGTTTCATTGCAAAACTTGAGAAGTGATCGGATTCGACAAACTTCAGAATTATATTCATTCACAGACTTAAAGTCTTGGAAGCGCAAGTGCTGCCAGTCGTGTCTTGCTTCAGGCAAGAATATGTCCTTTTGGTGATCGAAACGATCAGCCAAAGCGACCCATAATGCACGTGGATCCTCCTCAGCAAGGTACTCAGTTTGTAGAGCGTCATGGATATGTCTTCGGATGAAGATCATAGCAGTGGCTTTTTCAGCTTCGCCAACAGGTTTATCTGTTGCTTCTTCAATAGCAGGACGCAAGTTCTTTGCAGTGAGGTGGAGCTTCACATCTTGAACCCACTTGAGGTAGTTCCTTCCAGAAACCTCCAAAGCGGTGAAGTCGAGTTTGTTCAAGTTCGACATGTTCCTATCACAAAATAGATGGACAAGATGTAGTTAGTGTAATGGAGAAAAATCAATCCATTCACATAGGAGTAGAACATACAGGTTCTAATAGACATGTATTGGTTTAATTTTGCATGAAAAACTTCGGGTTTTCATGGGTGATATATTTAAGTGAAAACTTCGGGTTTTCAAACAAGGCATGTTTAGAAGAAACTTCGGGTTTCAAAGTAATTATGAACTTCAAGTTCATATATTCCTGCAGGCAAACACAAATATATATGCAAACAAATATGCAAAGAATATATGCAGAAATATTGTATAATGATAAGTGAATTAATTTATTTTTGGTCTTCGGGGCCAAATTAAAGTGTGGGTGAAAATATAAAAACCCATATTATTTAAAAAAAATTAAATAATAAAATCTCGGGGCCTAAAAATATAGGCCGAGTACCCCCCGGGTGTAGGCTGCAGGCCCACGGGGTGCTAAAAAAAATTTCTCTTTTTTTTCGGTATGGGCCGCTGCAGGCGAGCCCAGGAAAATAAAAAACAAATTGTTTTCTTTGTGGGCTGGGCCGCTGCAAGCGAGCCCAGCAAAAAAAATTGTTTTTTTTTTTTTTTTTTCACACGGGCCGAGAGGCTGGAGCCCAATAGGGTTCGGGTTGGAACCAGGAACACCCCAGCTTTTGCTGGGAACGGTTGCCGGAACGCCGCCACTGTAGGTGGCCGTGTTCTAGGAGGCTATCGATCGTGGGAAACACGGGGGTCCAACTGGGGAACCAAATATGAACGGAGATTGGAGAAATCTCGACGTTATATCAACCAAACCCTAGGAAATTTCAATCGGATTATGAAAAATTCCAATGAGATCTCAGCAAATCTCAGACCATAGGACACCGTGGACGATCTGTAAGTCGTCTGAGTAGGCTAGGCACGGCGACAGGCCGTGCAGTACGGTGATGGATGGGTGGCGACACCTGCTGGGTGTCGGGTTTGGGGTTTGGACGAGGAGTAGAAGCTCCAGCCGTGGTCTTGGGCTCGGAGGATCGATGCAGGTTGCAGGCCTGGTGAGGAAACCGAGCTGGGCCATCGCAGGCTGCGGGCCTGGTGGCTTGCGGCTTGCATGGTGCAAGTGCATGGGTTCGAAGAACCCTAATTCCCAAATCGCAAATTTTTTTTTTTTCAATTCAAATATAATTATATGCATGTGGATTTCAATGAATCACATATTTACGTTGATGCATATGCAAATAATAGTTTCAATGCATGTACATATGTAGGATTCAATTCATGACAAATATCAAATTCACATAATTGTAGCAATTTTGATTATGAAGCATACACAATTTACGTAGAATCTAAAATACGTAAAACGTAAAGTTGGGTCATGCATCATGGTGAATGTTCATGCTATCAGGGCTGCAAAATATCGAGTTAAAAACCGTTGTTTGGAAAGAACCTGATTGCGTGATGATATGGATGAACTGGTTTGATGCAGAAAAAATTTCCAACGTCAGATTCCTAAGCGCAGCGGTAGGAGCGTGCTGATAACGTGTTGTGGTCTATTTTATCTGACAGAGGGACTAGGGCCGGCGGCAGAGAGAGAGGAGAGAGATGTGTGTTTGTAGAATTGTAGGGGAATGTGTGTGTTGTTATCCCTCCTACATTGTGCCTTTATTTATAGTAGTAAAGGGAGAGAAGATATTTCTTCTCCTCCAAGTAATACAAGTTGTAATAGGAAAGGATAACTAGAATCAAATCTTATCTAGGATTTACACAATCATACTTAAACTAGGAATGTTTACAACACTTTTTATGTTTTTAGATAATAGACTATATTTTTTAGTTAGTGTTGAGTTCTTTTTGAAAATAGTCTTGCCTCACAAGTTTTTAAGGCCTAAAACTTGAAAATTGTGTTTGACTTTAAAAAGCTGGATTCAAGTAAAGTACCAAATAGGGCCTCAGTTTTCCTTGATGCAAACATACAAGCAAACTACCAACACAAATTAATGCGTAAAAACTCTTCCTAAATAAATTTTCTTTTTTATTATTTATAAAAATTATTTTGTAAATTTTGTGTGATGAATCTATATTTCGTCGCGCAAATCCTTAAATTTGGGCGAAGCTAAAAATGGGACGGGAATTTTTTTTTAAGACTTTGCACGACCAATTCTTCGTCGCGCAAAACTTTGTGCGACCAACACTTCCTCGCGCAAAACCCTAAAAATGGGACGCGGAAATTTTTTTTTAAGACTTTGCGCGACCTATATTTTGTCGTGCAAACTTGTATCCTTCGTTGCGCAAAGTGATACGGTTTTTAAAACCAAAATATCTCCTCCACAATTTTCTCAATGTCTTTCTCTATTCTCTTACCTCTCATCTCTCTTTCCCTCTCCCCAAATCCAACCTCTCTCTCACACTCACCTCTCACTTAATCTCTCTTCTCTCTCTCTCTTCTATATCTCTCACTCTCACTCACTCTTTCATCTCTCTCTCATTATCTCCTCTAACTCTCTCGCACTCACTCATCTCTCTCATTCTCACTCACTCTCAATCTTGCCAAAAGGTATTTTCTCCGCAAATTTTAATATATTTTTTTCATTAACATATGTTTTTGGAGTTAATTTTGGGTTTGGTGTGGGGTTTGGGGTCGAGTTTCGGGTGAGGGGTGAAGTTTGGGGTTGAATTTGGGGTGTGCCAATTTTAGGGGAGATTATGCCCATTTTTTGGTATTATTTTGTGTTGTTTTTTGGTTATTTGACCATGTTTGTTTTTTCCGTAGGGAATCGTCGAGACTTTGACGGCTAAAGTTGAGGATTAGGATGCTATTAGACCATATCCCTCACCACTACCACCACAATAGACTTCGATTAAGATTTTATTATTGTATTTTGTTAATTTATGTGTACATTTTAAATATAATATATATTAATTTGATCACTATTTTTCATATATAATTTTATTTTGAGTATGTCAATTTAAATGGACATGCAGAAGAGAAATGCTATTCCCACTCAGAGCAAGACATAACTTTTACTTGTTCAAATAATAATTAAGGTGAATCAGGGTCAAGAACAACGAATCTCTTTATGATGAAGAGATTCATTTTGCAAGTTCGTTATTACGGATAGTTCAAAAGTTTGTTTTTTTCTACTGCTAAAAGGTAAAAGGTTTTCACCTTCCTAATGGCACAAACCAATATCACCCCCACATCACTCTCAAAAACTTCACTCCAAAAAACTTCTTTGGACCCTAAAATTCCATAACTTGCAAAATTCAATTCAAAAATTGCAAGAAAAATGAACTGGGGTTCCAACATGCAAGTCGAAGTGTCTCAGTTTTCAGAGAAATTGACTGCAATGCGAGAGTTTTAAGGAAAATTTAGAGCAAGAATGTGAAGGAACTAAGGTTCGGAAGGGACCATCTTTCTCTCAGTCAAACAATGAATCCACATTAGTCAGGAATCCTTTTTTTTCAACAAATTGTCACTCCGAACAACTGAAGACACCTGCTTACACTAAAAGTGAGCCCATTGAGTTCCTAATTACTAGTTTAGAAGAGAGGGTAGCTTGTGTCATTTGGTCTTCTCAAGACTGCTTCCGTAAGAAGCAATGGGGAGCTCTTAGGGCTGATTTGGAATTATGATGTTTTTTTGTAAACAAACAGTTTATTAAAAAAATCTGAAACATTAAATGTGTTTGGTTTAAAAAACTATCAATGACAGTAGAAAAGAAGAAGCAAAATCTACCATGCTTTTTAAAAAAATGTGTCTTTTTTTTTCAAAGCATACTAATCGATGCTCATTTGATAAAATTTTCAAATAGCAAGTATACGTCCAAATATTTTACAAAATTATAATCATTGCCCCTATATTATTTTCTTTGACAATTATTATATCACATTAATACCATATTATTTTGAGTCATTTAATATATTGACAGCAATTTATATAAATGTTTATCAAACACTCATACACTATTTTTGTTTGTTAAAAGTACTTTTACACAAAAAAAAAAAAGGTTTACCAAACATTGAACAACTTTACTTTACAATTATTAGTATTTACCTACACTTTGTGTGTATGAACATATTTTTATACAAAAATGAGAAGGAGAGAGGGAGACATAGAGAACGTTGGGAGGGGGGGAAGTAGGAGGTTTTTGTTTTTGGTTTTTTTTTTTTTTTAAATTTTAAATATTGGAGATATTTTAACATTACCCTTAGGGGAGGTTTAAATAAAAAACAGTAAAATTTGGACCTATAAAATTACATTATTGCCCATCATTTTTTTGTGTGATAGAAGACTAAATAATTTTTTCATCATCTTTTGGTTGACAAATAAGATTTCATTAATTAGTAGAGATTTATTCCATCAGCACACCATAAGCAATTTTAAAAAATACACAGAAATACCAATCTAGCGCTTAATTAAACTTTTGAAAGGCCTAAATTACCCTCCATATCATTTTCAAATTACAACCTTACCCTAACTTGCCTCTCTTTGGCGTCTTGGGAGCAAACTAGATTTTGCTCTGTGTTTCTCTCCTGGCGTCAAGTTGTTGCCGCCAAAGCTGTCCCAATGGCCGCCAACAATCCGTCGCAGCTACTGCCATCAGGTTCGCATACTCTTTTCCCCTTTTTCTACTTTCCCGTATATTCTCGAGAAAATTAATCGGATAATTAGAGGTTTTTTCCTGGAAAATACGCAGAGTTGATCAACCGGTGCATAGGGTCGAAGATGTGGGTGATAATGAAGGGTGACTAGGAGCTCGTGGGGACTCTGAGGGGTTTCAATGTTTACGTCAACATGGTTCTCGAAGACGTCACTGAATAGTATGATTCACTCTCTCAGTTCTTGTTGCATAATGTAGCCCGAAACCCTACCATTTGGGGTTTTTTTTTTCTTTACTCGGTTTCTCAACAAGTGTGAATCTTTATTTTGTGAATGCTTCAACTTTTACATTTATGGGAAACTTATACAAAGAACAAGACAGTTGGAAATTAATCAAACAGAATTGTCTTTCTTTGTATTTCAGTTAGAAATTTGATCAGGGAAAACAGTTTATTGAAGAAATCCGAATCAGTAATCTCTTATTATGATGTCGATTCCCTGGGATCATCCAGAGGGTGGTATGTGAGCCTACCGGAGCCATCCTCGGTGTCAAAAGATCGTTCATTGTTGTGAAATTTAATACCAGGTTTGATCCTATGGTTGCTGACATCAATGGTTACCACATTGGTATTGATGTGAACACGGTTGTGTATGTTGCCTGTGTTGATGTTGTTTTAAGAGGAATTGATTTGAAAAGTGGGAGGGAGATTGCTGCTTGATTGAGTGCAGATATGCCGTCAAGATGGTTTGGGTTTTGGTCGGATACTTGTCAACTAGGCCTCCAACGCCTCTTCTTGTTGCTCAGATTGACCTCTCCAACCAGTTCAAGGAATTCATGCGTGTCGGTTTCAGAAAATGAACCTCGTGGTTCATTCTTGTACCAGGAAGAAACATGGAGGCCGACCCCACGGCGCTCGGATAGTATTTGTCCTGCTTCAACTCCAGCTTTTGCCAATTCTTCCCAAGTTTATGATGCAACTGACTTTACAGGGGACTGAAATGAAATCAACAAATGAAAAACTATTGCAATGAGAAATTATGCAGATTTTTCTTCGTTCTTCATAACTCGTGAGATTGAATCCATTGACTAAGATGGCAAAGCAAAAAATATCTTTAAAAACAGTAAAGCTGATGGGATAAATCGATGGGGACTTGCCTGCATTTATTATAAGATGGTGACTAGTAACAATGTCTTTTGTGGATTTGTTCTGTGTTGTCGAAGCTAGCACTTACAGGTCCACTTGAAGCTTGCTCGTCGCTATATTCATGTGTTCGTTTCAGGATTTTCAATGTTTGGTTTAGCTCTTCCAAATCTTGCTTGTACACCAAACGAGCCCCACACTTCTTCACACTATTGAAGTCTGCACATTGTATTTCTCGCACTTTCACATCTGTAATGTAAGTTTTGAATAAAAATTGTTCCTCATGACAATATTTACGAGGCAAATCAAATACCCAAAGATGTTCCGACAGAAGTGATCCTGTTGGAATACCCAAATTGCAATTTAAAAGCTTAATGACATGACCAGTAGGTGGATTGGCCAAGTTTTGGTTAGGATCTTGAAAAACAAGACAAAAGGCAATCCCCAGCCAGTCGGTACATGATGGTGGTGGAAGCTTCACATTTACTGAATTTCCCACACTCTGGTTACTGAACCACTTTGGAATTTCACTTCCAGACAATACAAGGTTTGGGGCATCTTTGATGGGATCTGGACACCGTACCTGTAAGAAAAGAACTATTTGAGAGAGAGAGAGAGAGAGAGAGAGAGAGAGAGAGAGAGAGAGAGAGTACCTCATAATAAGCGACAAATCTTGGAATCCTTGAGAGTATTGTATTAATCCAGCCTTCATCTTGAACCAATGCAATGCAATTCTTGCAATGGAAGTCAAAGTCATACAAATTGGTGAATCTGCTGCTCAACTTGGATGCATTTGTCAACCTTTTTAAGGATGTACAATCATGTAGAGTTACGTATAATTCGCTATTTGATGGAAGAGGTGGCAATTCTTGAAGGCTTTTGCACCGCCCCAAACCAAGATACTTGAGCTTAGAAAGGCGTCTAATGCTTTCAGGTAGACTGACGAAATTATTTCCGTCGAGATACAATTCTTCCAAAAAGGACAAGCAGCCAATATCATCGGGGATATCTCCTTCACAGAGTTCACAATCTTCTAGATATAACATTCTCAAAGAGCATAAACGATTTAGAGAAGACAGCACCAAACCCCAACAAGGAGGATGAGGACGACTCTTTCCAAGTCCTAATAAGCGGAGAAGGCCCCACCCCTCCCTTGCTTTAGTATCTGGTTCACATTTAAAAAATAGATCTTTAAGATTTTTCATACCCACAAGCGGCTCTGCCATTGTGTTTCCACATTTAAGATCCTTTAAGTGATCCATGTCTCCTGGGAGTTTGTCAAGTTTTGAGCATCCCATCACATTGAGATATGTAAGAGACTTCAAATTACAAATAGCCCTTGGAAGGTTCAAGAGATTTTTGCAATCACTTATACTCAAACTATTAAGGCCAACCAAATGTGCAATTGATGAAGGTATTTTCTCGATCGCAGTCCCATCTAAGTAAATCACGGACACATTCTTCATTTGCTCCCCAAATTCTGGAATCTTTTTCACATTTGAGCTGCCACTAAGATACAAATATTCAAGAGAATCCATTTCAAACTCACTTGGGAGGCTCTTAATGCTTTCACAACCCCTAAGATTCAAACTTTTAAGTCTTTTGAGGAATGCAACGGACGGGTGAATCTCAACTAAATTCTTACATTTCCAAATATCCAACGTCTCAAGATTTGGAAAGCCACTGAAATCTGGGGTATTAATCAATTTCTTGGAGGAGGCAAGATTGAGATATTTCAAATTGGGCAAGTCCTATTCAACACCGTAAGGTTCATGTCATATATTTGGCTTCTACAATCTTAAAATTTATTCAAAACAATAAATAAATAAAAAGTAAATGAATAATTAGGTACTCATTAGCATGGTCTAAAATATCCATAATATCCCGATATTTCCATCGAAATTTCCATGTTTTTGGACTACCGATATTTTTTTGGACTACCGATATTTCCGATATCATCGATATTTTAGACCTTGCTAAGTCACTCATCTATCTTACCATGCAATGTATAAAGTGTAAAATATTGTACTAATTCATTATATATAAATGATTATGGTGTGTTTAAACTTCATTTATTAATTATTACATATTTTCTACACTCACAATGTTTGCCAGCTCGCTATATAATCAACTTAAATCAGTTATATCTATCATGCAATGCATTTCCTTCCAATTTTTTGTGATAAACTAATAGATAATTGATTAAATAAACATCCTTCAAAGTTTCAATAAAAATTTCCAAGTTTTTCTTACAATTTTCGTGATTTTTATTTAATTTTTATCGATATCGATAATATCCTGATATTTCCATTGAAATTTCCGTGTTTTTGGATTACCGATATTTCCGATATCATCGATATTTTATACCTTGCTCATTAGCGAGTACATAAGACTATTTTTTTGTTTTGGTTCAATAAAAAAATGTCACATGTTCTTGTTTTTAACATGTACATTATTTTTTTTAAACAATAAAATGTATTAAAATATCATTGGACAAAATTAGAAAATGAGTAATGACTGGGGATTTATTTAATATTACTCTTACCATTTTTCCCTCCGAAAGCCGAACAAGATTGCTATTAGGCATGTTAAGTTCAGTAAGCAAGTACGGGCGAAAGCTGGTAGGAAGAAACTTGGAAGGATAGAAACTCCAATTTATAATTCTCGAGGAACATGGAAGAAATTTGGGGCCTGAAGAAAATATCAAATTATCGAATTCCAAAAACCTCAGTCCATGCATCTTAGAGAAGGCTTCACAATTCCATTGGGGCACCTCTTCTACTTTGGGCGGCCGTAATGATATAGCTTCAATTGCTCTCGAACCCTAACAATTAAGAAAAAAGGATAAATTAATTTGACAATCAAGTCTACTATAGTGTCAAAAGAAATCATATCTTCTTTCAAACTTGGAATTTAACTTCTTACCGTATTGGTCGTGAGTATATGAAAAATATCATCAGAAAGCCACAACCTACTGCGTAGACCAGGCTCTTCAGACTCTTCACGAACAATTGTCCATGCCATTTCTTGTATCAAATCATGCATCCCTATCATGTTTTCGTAATTGTATACGAGAAATCTCTCAATTAGTACATCTATCATACTACTACTAGAAATTCCAAATGAATTGTCTAGCATCCGCAATACTTCCGTCGTGGGCTTCCCTTTGTGCAGACACGCAACATCGAGAAAAATTCTCTTCTCTGTCCTTTCTAGTCCATCATAACTAACTTTGAGTGAATCAAAAACTGTTGGAATAGGAATTTTCCTTAGATTATCTCGTACACTATTCCATGCACCTTGACCTCTCGCATACAAAGAAGACCCCAAAGTTTTTAGAACTAATGGAAGGCCTCCAGCATGATTAATGAAATACTTAGACAGTTCCAAAAATTCTTCCTCAGGTTGGTCTTTTCTAAAGGCGTGCAGGCTAAACAGCTCAAGTGCTTCGGCACCTTTTAACACCTCGACATTATGACACAATGTTATGTCATGCTCAACCAGCAGACGTTCATTTCTAGTTGTAATGATAGTTCTACTTCCCATGCCAAACCAATCTTTCTTTCCAGCTAGTACTTGTAGCTGGTTTACTTGATCCACATCATCAAGTACAAGAAGAACCTTTTTGTTGCACAAGCATTTCTTCGTGTAAATGATTCCCCATTGTTGGTCACTAACGTTTTCAATATTTTCTTTCAAGATTGGGAGAAGAAGTTGTTTTTGAAGACGAACTAGAGTACGCTCTGTTACAGAAACCTCTCTAACGTTTTCAAGAAAGCAGTGAACTTCAAAATGATGGAAGACTTTATCATAAACTAGCTTAGCAAGAGTAGTCTTGCCTACGCCACCCATCCCAGTTATCCCAATAAATCGAACATCATTTGCGTCATGAGCTAACAGCAAACTTAGTTGCTCGAGTGCAGAATCAGTTCCGACTAACTTCTGTGAGGAATCTAATAGCGTGCATGTAGCTTGCACTTTCCTCCGCACGCAATTGACAATGTCATCAATTAGCTGTCTTTCAGACCTGGAAGGAAGAATAGTATAATAAGTTAACCAAACAGGGGCACCAAAGCAAGAACAACAACGAAACATTCAAATACGCATGCTTACTTAAAATTCTTCGAATGCCACCCAGAAATTTTGGATACTTTTTTCAAATCAGATCTCCACTGGGTCACCTTCTTTTTGTCTTCGGTACTAATGAACTTTTCTTCATGCTCAGTGAAGGCTTCGGCAAAAGACGCCCTCTGATTGCCTACGTCAGATGGATTTGTCTCATAAAAGACCGGCAGAATTGATTTCCTCGCTTCCATGCATTGAACAATGTTTGTGAGTTCGTCCAAGCACCATTTGGAATGAGCATATTTTGGAGAGAGAACAACGATTGCTGTATGCGATGCTTTGATTGCACTTAGAAGCTCTGGAGAAATACTTGTTCCTCTTTCAAGCTCTCGATCGTCATAGAAAGTCGTAATTCCTTGGCACTTGCACAATTCATGGTATAAATGGGATACAAAACCCCTGCGGGTGTCTACACCCGTGAAACTCAAAAACACATCATACTTCCATCCAGGAGCTAAATCATTTGAAAGAAAAGATGAAGAGGCTCTTTGGGTGCTCCAAGTCAATGCCATTGGAAAAAAACAGTTGCTGTAAATCGGGTACTGCAAACAGTAACTGAATGAACAAAAAAATCAGGCTTACGTGCTTTCTTTGTGATAATTATGGATGTAAGTAGTATATAAATCAAACTTTCATAGAACCTCTATCTTTTGACCAATGAGTAGTTGAACAGTGCCAATCTTTTGATAATTATAAACTTATGTATACAAATCTTTTTATAACAATGGACAGTTCAAATAACGTCCAGATTCTTTTTCAATAAAACTATTTAGACAAACAATACTCAGACATTTGATGACATAGTTATGTAATAGATGCGAGCTTTACAATTGCATATTGGACTAATCTGTATCTTAAGAGTTTGTCAATGTGTGTTAGTCTTGTGAGTCTAAATTTATAGCATCACTATTTCGATTAATAAATTGTGTGCATAGTGAGTCTGATAAAATGATATATTATACATGTCACCTAATTAAGTAGCTATATTAAACATTGAGTATAGAAAAATGTTCAAGCAACCCATTATCCGTAAAAGACTATCCTCTAAATAGCCACAATTGGCAGCACTGATGAGGCAATTTGTTTCCTTTTTCCTGCATTTCAGAAATTTTTATGCCTTGAAGCTCAGAAATACAGAGCACCCATAGCCAAAAAACAGTTCAAAAGCCAGGAATCGATAACCCATTAAGGAAAAATGATAAAGAAAGCAATTGGGAATAAAAACTTGTTTCGTTTGTAACTGATCAGACCTTATACATTTAGTGTATTAGTATTATATAACTGAAAACACAATCGAAATTCATCAACGTTCAAACTTAAACAATCATAACCTCAAACAACCAAAGTCTAGGGAACGAAATCTGATACTCATAGTACATAATTCATCTCTCTCTATGCGTAAAACATTTAGAAAAATCAAATGCCAGTTATTAGAATGGAAAGTTGAAGTACCTGGGCAAGTTTTTCTTCTTATCCGAAGATCATCTCCACTTGCTCTAAATAACAATTGTCATCTCCACTTTCCCTGCATTCAAAATATCACCACCAGTGCACTTATATAAGGGGAAAAACATGTGCAACCAATCACCAAAGTTTACATAAATTTGTCACAAATCATGCCACTGAGTGACACAATAGGATGTCCAAATTCAAAGCAGTTAAGAGTCAGTGTACACATGAACAATTGAATGTTACAGATGAAATGCAAAATCACGTGGAATGAAATCATCAAATCCCAAAAGAAAACTTTTCAAAGCATTCTTGCGAAATCAAAATCCAACAACCATTTGATTATTAGTTCAACACAAATCATTATGAAAACAATATATAATACGCACACATACCGATCCGACTTTTTCTTAGTTTTTTGAATTTCTTGACTATGTTTCCTTCTTGATTATATTTCTCTATCAATAGAAAAATGAAAAACAAACAAACAGTTAGGGGATCAGAAATTTAACATATATCACTAATCAGTCCCACAATCTTTTCTGTGAACCCTTGCATTGCTCTCTGCATTTCCACAAGTTACATTATGAAATTTTACTGAATAGTAAATAGTAAATAGTTAATACCTCTCAGAAAGCTCCATAAATTCTCCTTAAAACAAATTATGCAAGATTAGGTAAAAGATAAAAAATAAAAATAATAAAAAAAAGTAAAGAAAATTAACCTTGGAAGGCTCATTGCTTGTTCCGAAGCTGATTCCTGGAACATATTTCAACCATCAAACCCTCCAAACCACACAATGAAAAAAATGAAATACTTTTTTTCCCCCTAAGATTAGGAGAGAAAAAGGCTGATAGTGGAAAATCCTAAAAAATTAGAAAAATAAAAAGTCAAACGGAGAGGACGTTCTCGAATGTACACCAGATTCGCGGTTTTTCAGTGAGAGGACGTTCTCGTTGGTAGTTTCTTAGAGTTCTGAGAAAAAATAGAGATGAAAAAAAAAACACCCAGGAGAAGGAGCGGAGGAGATGCTGTCGAACGGAGGAGGAGGAAGGAGGAGGAGCCTGGATGCGGAGATGAGAGCCAGTGTCTTAATGAAATCTCGATTTTTTTTTTCAAGGAAAAATGGCAATTGCGGAAATAAATTCAAATTATCAAATGAAATTGCACTCTAGCGAAAGCTACAGTGCCGCCGCTCCCCAATTTTAGAACAGAGTAATGTTTTAAAATTTAAGAAAATAATTTGAAACTTTAAATCTTCGCTTGGTAATTACAAGATGCAATTTTTATTCGTAACTACATAGATTCATTGCTGTCAGATATTTGGCTCAGTATCAACACATATTTAACAATTCGATTTGATTTTACAATCTTCGATAACTTAGTTTAAGTTGTTGAATCATATGCAATTACTGAAAAATGAGTTGTGCAAACAAAAAAAAGTATTCAATGAACGAGTAAACAAAAATGAGCAGGAAAAAGAAAATGAAAACTTTAAATCTTGTTTGGTAATTGAAAATGTATATTAAGCAAAAGAGATTAAGGACTTAGAGAATTATCAAACAAAACACAAGATCAACAGAGACTTACACAAGTAGAGAGAAGTGACAAATGGCAAGAAAAGAAGCAAATAAATCACACTGAAAATTCTTGCAACAAAGTTGTAGGAATATAAGAAATTTAGAGAGGTAGGATAGGAAATAAATGGAGGGAGATGGGTACTTATACTGGTAGTGAAGGTGGTAGGGGACCACACGGTTCAGTCGGTGATAGTGTCGGGTGAATTATTTCCTTGACGAAGAAACGTTAGTATTATGATTACTTATCTAAATAGGAGTAAAAGAACTAAAATTTTATGATGATCTATGGTGAACTATTTAACGGTTAAAATATGTTAAATATCTCATACTCTCCGTTAAAATTCCAAACAATTAATCTTCCTAGCCAATGCTTACTGTTGGGTTTTGTGGCTCTTTCTGATTGGATCGTTTACTTTGACTGAAGCCAATGTTTTTTTGGATAAAAAAAAAAGAAGAGTTTTAACGAAAAGCCTACGGTATTGTTCACTTTAACGAAAAACTATATTTTTACACTAAAAAAGCAATTTTGGTACTATTCATTTTACCTTTTATTTTGTCCTTATCGTTAAAATGTAAAACTTTCAAATCTTTTTCATTAATTTTCTTTAAAAAAAAATGGTCTCAGTCACGTGATGACTATGTTAAAGGCAAGGAGCCAGTTTTATAAGGCACTGGATGCTTTTTCTTTCGGTTCCCACTTCCCGTCACCATGGAGAAAAAGAAGGGATGTGATATCCACACACCCCATTTTACTTCTCACACACCTTTTTAATTTTCGACCGTCGGATCAGATGAATTGAAGAAGATCAACGAACAGAAATTAACAAGGGGTGTGTGAGAAGTAATTTGGGGTGTGTGGATAGCACACCCCAAAAAGAAAGGCAACCTATGCCCTTCGGTTCCTAAAAAAGAAGGGCAGAAAAAAGGAGCAGCATTAGAAGGCATTGGATGCTTTTCTTTTGGTTCCTATTAGCAAAAAGAAAAAGAAAGGTTTTGGGCAATTACACATTCAAGATATTGGTGCTAATTTTTTGGCTTTTGGGAAGAGACGAAATTATGTATTTTCATCTCTCCCATTTTTTTTTTTTTTTTGAGTGAGAATTATTGGGTGTGTCTAGGATTTGGGGTTTGAGAGTTAAAACTCTATTTGTGATCTCCATTAGTTATTCGTAAAATTTCTTTACCATCTCTGTACTGGATGTAGACTTATACCAAATCAGTATAAATCTTTGTGTCACTTTGAATTGTTTGTTTTGTCCAATTTTTCTGAATTAATTTATTAGTTTCACCTCTCAAACAATACTTACTACTAAAAGAATGAGCTAAACCATTTAATCAAATACTAATTAAGTGAGAACATCAGCAATTAAACGTTGGCATCTAGTATCGAGCCAAAGAGAAGTTGGAAGGACCTAACAAGCAGCTCCATCAGCCAACATTTCTACCCAACACCATCACACAAATTAATCTCTCAACATAAAAAGTTATATGTGAGAAAGAATGAATGAATTACATGAAACGAGAATGTCAAAATAACGGTGTAATCAACCTATAATATATTATCACTTCACAAAATTAAAATTTTCTTGAAAGAATCAACAAAGAAATCCCATGCAAGAGCTGTTTACTTTTCAATACTCGTTGAAGAGGAAAAGCTGAAGAAAACAAGCTAACACATGGACTTCTAAAGTGAAAAGACAAGTATTTTCCACGCAAAAAAGTGGAAGACTTGACTCTGATTTCCAATACCCGTTCCAAAGTGAAGGGACATTGGTCTTCAAACGAAAAAAAAAAGTGGAACACTGATCACTTTGAGAAATTTCCAAGAAGATTCCCCGTTGGGACGTGGTATCTTTCTTCACCTTTTCCCTGCTCACCAAAGTGATTGGATGCAAGACTTGTGACTTCACTGCAACTTCCCAGCTTTCCCATTTTTCAACACGTAAGGCCATTTTGGCAATTGCACAATTTTAGCCCCAAAATTAACATAAGGATTTACCGCTCACATGTTATCCAACAAAGTTCCCTTATTCTTTTATCTAGAACCTTGCTATTACATATGCACAGTCTAAAAATAAAAAAGATTTTAACGAAAAGCTCCCGGTACTATTTAATTTAACGAAAAATCATATGTTTACACTAAAAAATCAATTATGATACTATTCATTTTACCCTTTGTTTTGTCTTTATCGTTAAAACTCAAAATTTTCATGTCATTTTCATTAGTTTTCCTAAAAAAAATTCTAGTTTCCAATTGTTGTACCAACACCTTGGGTTTGCGATTCAATAACTGCAAGATATATAAAGGGATAAGTGAAATCACAGTTCAGTAAGGACATAAAAACCTCATCATGAATAATTGATCAAACTAAACTAAATGACATATTAAATGTTGGATTAGTCACTGACAAAATTTAAATTCACGCCTACATGCAAGGCTCTAACATTTTTCTACCACTGTAATAAAGAGCTACTGAGTAAGTTTCCAACTTTCTTACCAGAATAGATATTCATATTCTTTGTTTTTTTTTTCTTTCTAAAAAGGAAAATATTTATGTCACCCACTAATCTAGGTTTTTTCACACCAGCATTCCAAGGTCAGGTTCTCCTTTTGATATATGTATGTGATCAATCTGCCCAATGCCTCCAGCTATTAAATATGATTGATATGTTCTCAGCACGATTCACTAACATAATGCATAATGACAATTTTCTTTAGGCTTACAATTTTCCCGAAGCAAATAAAATACTTAAAAGGTATTCTGAAGTAAAAGAATCTATTTTCGGTTTTTCATTTTCAAAGAATACTTGTTTGACAACTACTTTTAGTTTTTAATTTTTAGAGAAATAAAAACTAAAAATTAGTTTCTTGAGCTTTCAAAATTTATTTTTTCAGTTTTTAATTTTAGTTTCTAATCAACATCATGACACAAGCCATCAAGTAACAAAACTAGTAAAAAGTCAACTAAAAATGTTATATGTTGAAAAGAATAATGAATTACATGAAACGAGAAAGCCAAAATAGCCGCGTAATCAATTTATTACGTATTGTCATACCATAAAATTAAAATACAACGCGAAGTGGTGACAAATTTGAGCCACACCGCTATAATGTTGCCATGCAATGTAAATCTCCTTCAAAGAAGCAACAAGAAAATCCACATGCAACAGCTGTCCACTTTCCAATACTCGTTCAAGACGAAAAGCTGAAAGGACAAGTATTTTCCACATAAACAGTGGAAAACCGACTATGGGAAATTTCCAGGAAGCAATATTTCTGAGTAAGTTCCCAACTTCTTTATGAGAAAAGATAATTCATGTCTTAGTAAGTTCCCAACTTTATTCTGATAAAAGATATTCATGTTTCTATGTTTTTTCAGTGGTGCTAAGGCCACCTACTTATTGAAAGATAGTAGAATATAGTTTGTAATCTCAATTCAATAATTGAGCGAGCCAAATGATCATTAATATTTATAGTAGTACAAGATGAATCCGTGTAGAAGAGGAATACAAAAAACATACAGAAAACATAAGATACAATCAAAACTAGACTAGGACTAGGACTGGGCTTTAGAGTACTCGGACTTGGATTGAGTTTTGGACTTTCTATCGGAATGAGATTGTTCTGCAGCAATTGGAATTATACTTGGTTTATCACTCCCCCGCAAACTGACCGTGTGACCACGTATGGGAACTTTGGACAGCAAGAAGGAAAACCGGACAACAGATAAACGCTTGGTAAGGAGATCAGCCATTTGATATGTAGAAGAGACATAACCGTTGTCAGTGATTTTACCGTTGTCATCAAGAAGAAACACACCAGGGCAAGGAGATTCGCCAATAACATAAGACAACAAATTGTGGCCGCGCAGCAAGGGAAGAAACTGGGCACGCCATAGGGGGTAGTTTGTGCGATCAAAGCTTGATCGTGGGAAAGTTTGTGACAGAATAAGTGACAACAAATGAAGAAGACACCATAATTGTAGAGAAGAAGAAAAAATTTAAAATTTGAACATTTTTCGTTAGATGCTGGCTCTGGATACCATGAAAGATAGTAGAATATAGTTTATAATCTCAACTCGACAATTGAGCGAGCCAATTGATCATTAATATTTATGGTGGTACAAGATGGATCCGTGTAGAAGAGGAATATAGAAAACATACATAAAACATTGGATACAATCAGAACTAGACTAGGACTAGGACTGGGTTTTAGAGTACTCGGACTTGGACTAAATTTTAGACTCCATATCGGAATGAGACTGTTCTGCAGCATTTGGAATCAAACTCGATTTATCACTTATAGCGCGTTTACGTAAGGGTAATCGGAATCAAGAAACGGAATTGAATTCCGATTACGGCATACTCCGGTGTTTACCAAATCTGGGGGAATCAAAATTTAGTGGGTCCCACACAAATTTTGGAATCCAATTCCAAAATGTGGCTGATTTGGATTCCTAAGATATAGAAGGTATTGGGATTCCGGGTGGCTTGGGCAATCCACTTGATAATTTTTTTCCCTTTATGCCCTCACTTACTTTCATTATTTTCAAGATTATCCTTTTTTAACCTAGACTTATTTTTCTTTCACCCAGCTCATTTCTATCTTCTCTCAGCCGCCTGTCTTCTCTCAACCGGAGCTCTCGTCACACATACGGCTAGGTAAATTCCTTCTTCTGCTTTTTTATCTCTGTGCTCGATGAATATCAGCATTTGGCTGCTCGTTTCTTGTGCGTTTCTTTCTTCTCCGCGATGGATTTTCTTTCCAGGATTCGTTCAATTTTTTTTTCCTGATTTTCTTCTTTTTATTTTATTTTTTGGTGTGCGAAAAACTTGAGAGAGAGAGAGAGAGAGAGAGAGAGAGAGAGGATGAAAGAGTGAAAGACTGAGAGAGTGAAAGATTGAGGGTGAAAGAGGAGTTTTTGTTTGTTTTCTTTTGAGCTTATCGTCTGATGAATCAAAGAATCATTTTTTATTTTTTTTTTCCAGAAAAGGGGAGTGGAGGAGGAGGACTAGAGGAAGCACAGCTCAGACTGTGAGTTGGGTTTTGCTCAGATTTCTTGCTTGTGCATTAGGTATGCTTCTTCTAGCTGCTCCATTATCTCATTCTGTACTTTTGGAATGGTTTTTCAGTGTTTTGTGCTTGAATCACATATTTGCATTGCTTGTTCTGTAGTGGGTTGTATTTTGTTTTCCCATTAAATTTGAAATGGGAGGAATAATTAGCTGGTTTGCTCAATTGTAGAAGACAAAGTTTGCCAAAGTAATGTTCTTGCAGAAATATTTTTTTAAATAGTTTTGAGTTTCTGGCGTTTATGGGAAACTACTGGTCTGCTTTTAGGGATTTGGTTAGGTGAATGCGATGATATTTGCAAAGATTGGGAGAAAATGATGGATTCCTTAAATTGGGTTCTTTTAGATTTCGATTTGGGTGTGCTCAAAAGTGAAGAAAGTCCTCAATCTTAGTATTAGCAAATAACCTATTAATCCAAGGGAAATAAGATAACCAGTAAGTAAACATGGAGTGGTTTATAAATGTCACAACATATATTTGTTAATGCAGGAGTAAAGGGAAAAAAAAGTTTGTACTTACTCCTCATAGGCAACATGCTACCTGTATGAAAATATTTGAACAAATCTGTTTTGAATTCAGGGCATTGTTCATGCTATCGATTTTCTTCTCTCTTTTTTTTTTCATGCTCTCTGTATGTAAATTTTTGTGACTAATTGTGTTATGTAATGTTAGTTTATTTCAGTTTGCAGATATGTTTATTAACTTATTAATTGAAGTCCTTCATGACATTTTTTTTCTTCATTATTTTGTGTAGACTAATGGCTCGTCTAAGTTTGTCCACAAAGAAGAAAGTACATGCTGCGTTGAATGTGTTGATTGTCTATCTTCGAACTATATTTGTTGCATGTGCTACTTCTTGTTTCTATTCTTGGTATCATTTCCAAAAGCACCTTAGAAGTCCCTCACCTTGTCAAACAGTTATAAGAGTTTACAAGCAATTAGAATACTTACATGGTTTAATTTATGAGAGTGATGTGACATGTATTGCTGAACTACGAATGGATAGACGATCCTTTCATAGATTATGTCAAGTTCTTGTGACTAGAGGACATCTACGAGCTACTCGAAATGTGTCTATAGAGGAGATGGTTGCATTTTTTCTATACATTCTTGCACACCATCTTAAGAATCGCACAATCAACCACCACTTTAGAAGGTCTGGTCGAACAATTAGTAAGTATTTCCATGAGTGTATTAAAGCAATGATTCGATGCCAAAAGGATTTCTGGCAAACACCTGAGCCTATCCCTGAGAACTCAACTGACACAAAGTGGAAATGGTTTAAGGTATGTAGTATCTACATGCCTACACTACTCAGTAATTACTAGCTTTTTATTTCATAGTTTAGTTTGTTAATTTAGTGTCCTATATATTGTAGAATTGTTTAGGTGCACTAGATGGAACACCTGTTAAGGTGCATGTACCAGAATGTGATAAACCAAAGTACAGAACAAGGAAAAATGAATAGCAACGAATGTTTTAGGAGTCTGCACTCCGGACATGCAGTTTATATATGTTTTACCTGGATGGGAAGGGTCCGCACATGATGGTCGAGTTCTTAGAGATGCTGTGACTAGGAGAAATGGATTGAAAGTCCCTAATGGTAACACTCACAACTTTTTTTAGTAATTAAAATTCTTAGCTTTTGAATTGCAAGTGATATAAAGTTGTAAGTTTGACAATTTAATTCTTTGCACAATAGGTTGTTACTATTTGGTTGATGGTGGCTACACAAACGGAAAAGGTTTTCTTGCACCTTATAGGCGAACTCGTTATCATTTGAATGAGTGGAGAGATGGTTATCGTCCTACAACACCGGCTGAGTTTTTTAATATGAAACACTCAAGTGCTCGGAATGTCATTGAAAGGTGTTTTGGGCTATTGAAAATGCGTTGGGGAATCCTTAGGAGCCCATCCTATTACGACATTAAGACACATCGTCGCATAATTTCAGTGTGTTGTATGCTCCATAATTTTATAAGGAGGGAGATGGTTGTAGATCCTATAGAAGCCGATGCGGATGGGCAATTTCAAGATGGGAATTCAGATGCAAATAACTATATTACCACTGTTGAGTCCTCAGATGAGTGGACTGCATGGAGGGATAACCTTGCCCAAGAAATGTGGAACAATAGGGCGGTTCATTGAGTTGGTGTTTGATGTGTTTGTAATCATAATCATTTGGAATGCTTATGTCTAATACTGTTTGTGTAATAACATTTGGAATGTTGTATTTGTTTCTAAGTTAAGAAAGACATCCTATTTGTAATTGAAATCATTTGAAATGCTTATGATTTCTAATATTGTTATGTAGAATGGCTTCTGTTTCATCTGTGAAACGAGGAAGGGGACAACAGAAACACTATTGGACAACTACTGAGGATACAATATTGGTTGAATCATTGCTTGAGTTGCATGGTGACCCGACTTGGCGAGCTGACACTGGTTTTAAGAATGGTTATTTAGGGAAGATATAAGTTATGATGGAAGCCAAACTCCCAAGATGCGGATTAAAGGCGTCTCCCCACATTGAATCACGCATCAAGACTTTGAAGGCAAAATATTTTGCCTTAACTGAATTGCTAGCTCTCAGTGGGTTTGAGTGGAATGAAGAGAAAATGATGTTGGCTTGTGAGAAAAGTGCGTATGACGAGGCTACGAAGGTTTGCATATATCTGATTGTATTTTGTGTTTTATCTGATTGTGTTTTGTTTTTAGAATCTCAGTTCCTTGATTAATTACACTGAGTTCAAAATCTCAGAGTTAATATCATCATCTTCTTAATTACAAATCAGGATAATGCACTAACAACATACATAGAAAAAGAAAAACCTTCATGGGAGGTAATTCCAAGTTCTTTACTGACACCATCACCATACACTCAGAAACCACTTGAAGCTAGATATTAGAAGGAGTATAGTGCACATAAACAAAAACTGAGACTTGTATGAAAAACATAGCTTTTTAAATACCAGCTCTTTCATACTGTAAAGAAAAAAGAGTTATGACAAACTTATAGATGATCTGTTGATCTGCCAGCTTGTGTGGCAACATAAAAGAGTATATATATATATATATATGTATGTATATCTTTTCGGAAAGGTTCACCCATCATCCCTCTGAAAAAAGGAAAAACTTAACATTGTTTTTTTGTTTTCCATAGCTAGCACACGTCAAAACATTCTGCCCTGTCCATTATTAATTGTTCTGCCTCTTGTCCTTTCTTCAAAGATTGATTTTTCACTTCTTCCTCTTTACGCTGCCCTCTTCATCCTGTAATAGACCAAGAATTAATATATTGTATTACACGCCTTGTGTTTTGTGTTTTTTTTTTGTAGGGTAAAAAGGATGCAAGTGGATTGTACGATAAGCCTTTTCCGCACTACCACAGTTTGGGAGAGATTTATGCAAAAGATCGTGCTGTGGGTGCAAATGCTGGTAACGCTGATGACGATGAAGAAGAAGTTAGACTTGAAGATGCCAATGTCAATCAACATGAAGGTGAGGATGAAAGTGGAAATGACTTTGATACTTCTTTCTCAGTACCAAATACCCAACAACAAAGGAATGCAGAAAGTAACACATCAAACATTAGTCGCAAAAGGGCAAGAGTAGCGGATGAAATGGCCAAGCAATTCTCTATTATGGCTAAAGCTATAGCCGATGTGGGACCTAAGATTGATGGTCTAGTTCATGCACTGTCAACCAATATAAATCTGACCGAAATGCAACAAAAACTTGACAGTGAGTTGACCAAAATGGAGTTTTTGTCTCCCATGGATTTATTTAAAGTCACTAACTTCTTGGCCAAAGAACATGACCTTTTGAGGGTGTTTTTCAACATGTCTGATGAAAGGAAGAGTGCATATGTGACTACTTTGTTGCAGACTTGGATGCATAACGACATCTAAGTGATGGTCCAAATAATGTGAATGCTAGTTTTTTGCTATGACGTGCTTACTGCCATGATGACATATCAGGGAAAATTGTGAATGTTTTGTAAATCTAATGACTTATTAGATGACACCATAATGGTGAAGAACTACTTTTTGTTGATATTATGATGTTTAGGCAGGTTAAGAATATTTTGTTGACAATCTGATGTGTAGGCAGGTTATGAATATTTGATAATATGATGCATACGCAGGGTATGACAAGTTTGCTTAGGTTGGTTATGGTGGTTAGATAGATGTACTTTAATGTAAAATATTAACTTTAATGAAGTTATTTCCTACTCTTTGTTTGTTACTAATATTTTTTTCTTCATTTATTTACTATTATACAAAATCCACCTCTTGAAGATCACTTTAGTTCAAAGGGAATCAAGTTTTTTGATTTGAAATGGTAAAACAAAATTTCTTCTACTCCTTGACATTATGTAGCAAAATATATTCTTGAAGAGTTAAGACTGAAAATGCTCCTAACAATTTCTTTCCATGTCCTTCTTGCTCATTAAGCATAATTCTATGCTCATTTACATTATGCACAACCAGTGGCCGAGCCAGGAATCTTACCACAAGGGGTTGTAGTGTAAAAATCCAGAAAAAAAATTTAGGATGGAAATGTTAAAGTTAATGCTTTACTTAAACTGATTTTGTGTAAAAGGGTTGACTGTTGCCTTTATCAGTCGACCCATTCTATTTATCAGTCGACCCATTCTATTTATCAGTCGACCCATTTTATTTATCAGTCGACTCAATTACTTCAGTCGGCTTATGTATTGAACTAATTCTGTGTAAAAGGGTTGACTGTTACCTTTATCAGTCGACCCATTCTATTTATCAGTCGACCCATTTTATTTATCAGTCGACCCAATTACTTCAACCAATCAAACTCATCAAACCATCAAACCATTGGGGAATGAAGCGTCGATTAATTCCCGACATATTAGTTATTGGGAAATTATGACCTCTAGGTTGACAAGGTCCTTTTTGTAGATATGATCTTCGGACCTCATCTCTCATATTAGCATCATAATCTATTATTCGAGTTCTCAATCCAGGATCCGCTTCAAGATTACCCAAAACATCATCTAACTGACTTTGCCTTGAACTTGGAGTTCTTGAACTACCAACAGTATTTGAACTATCAACATTATTCGAATTACTCGGACCCGATGATGACTTTCTCTTAAAAAACCGTTCCATAATAATTCTACATATACAAAATAATGAAAATAAATACTCACAATATAAACAAACCATGAATATAATCAAAATAAATATGAATTGAATTTCAATTAAATTAAATATATTCTACATATACAAAATATTCAAAATAAATACTCACAATATAAACAAACCATCAACACAATCAAAATAAGTATGAATTGGTTTCAATTAAATTAAATATCTCACTGTGCACAACTATACATATGCCGAAGAGAAAAAACTACAATTTGAGCGAGAAAATTTAGATATTAAAGTCAATACTTAAATTTATAAAAAAAAATAAACAAAATCATTTTAGTATGTCTATGAAATACAATTACAATTTAATTTTTTCTTACTATTATATACTATATCAAATTTTATTAAAAAATATATATATAATATTTGATTTGAGACAAGGGCATTTTAGTAATCATACTGGTTTATATTCCGATTCTTCAAATTAGTAAACAGCTTTATGGAATTGTATTCCGATTCCAGACAGTTTTAGTGAACAACTTCAACAGGAATCTGATTCTGATTCCACCTCATTTCAATTCCTCCTCAATCCAATTCCTCCTCAATTCAATTCCTCTCAATTTGATTACGGATTAGTAAACGCGCTATTATCTTATTTCTTAACCCATTTTCCAATACTCGTTACAAAGTATTTTCCACAAAAAAAAAGTGAAAGACTGACTGAGAAAGTTCCCTTTCCTTTAAGAGGAAAATATTTACGTCACCCACTACGAAACTTCTATATGGGTTTTTTCACACATTTGTTTGTTAGGTCCACACTTCTCGAAAGCTTGGGCCACACATCTCTTCTGGAAAAAGCAGCGATGGAAGCAATTCTGCCTCCTCCCGTACTTTAGGACAGGCTAAGCTAGAAAGATGGGATACAAGTCCATTAACAATGTTAAGATTCTTTGTTGAATATGCTGAGACTTCCCCTGTCATTTAGATAAATCATCTCATTAGTTATACCCTGCACTAAACATATCACCCCCAGCAACTAGCAGTTAGCAATATCAAATCTGATAAAATTAGTCAACCAAATAAGAAGTCTTCAATGCAAGCTGCAATGTAAGAGTAGAGTTGAAATGATCCATATATAAAGAAAATGAGCATTCATAAGAATCATGAAACCTAGGCTAAGTTCCGTGGACTCTTAAGGTCCCTCATCCAAACATAGTATAAACAACATTTTTGAATCGCAGTACAAAAGAATAGATAGAGGGGCTTCAAAATGATTCGATGCAAAACATTTGAGAGAACTTCCAAATGACTCTTTGGAAGTCCTCTTTTGCGTGTCTTTCTATTGCATTTGTAGTGTTTGAGTAGTAACTTTGTAGTGCTTTACTAGTTCATCAATAGTATTTTCGTAATGCATTTTTGACAATTAAGTCCAAAGTTTGTCCCTCATTCAAACATAGACACCCTGATAACTCTATGTTTAATACAAAAACACTTCAAGAGCTCAATTGAAAAGATAGAGAAAAAACCCCCCTCGTCCATCCACTTGTCATGCTCTAATTGATTTTTAGTTGTGAAATACTTTATTCATCGTCAAGTCAGTTGGGTAATTTTTTTTTTTTTTTAACTATTGGGTTTGAAGTGTTTTTTTATAAAGATTAAGTACCATCATCTTCCAAGATAATAAGTTTCAAAAAAAGAACGAATTACTTTCAAAATGAAAATGAAAATATGGTACATCACATGCACACTGTAGATATGACATAGACTTATACACCAGTGTCTACTTTACACAGTCAAAATCAACAATATTATAATGAACCATTTATGAATGCGCTCTTCACTAAAACGGAGTATAACATATGTCAAATCTACCGCTTTCCCGGTAAAACTGACATCTTTATGACCACAAAACTTAAAAGGAGGAGACCAATCAACAAAGTTCAAAAGATAAAAGAGGACATCACCAAATTAAGCACGGCGAAATATGGACACTAATGATAAAAAACGATGATTCTCAAACACCTATAAATATAATGCATGTTACGTAGTTTAACTGGAGAATGTACAACTATTAAGAATAAAAAAAAGTGATACATTAGGACCACTAAAGTATAGATAGGTATATTGTAATCCGATTAACCATCATTCTCCGGAATCTTTGCTCTTCATGCATACCAGTGCTTATAGAGACATTATATGATATACAAGTCTAAAACTCATGATTTTCTTCTATATATCACTGAAGCTATAAAAAATTCAGTAGTGTTACAACATGATTAAAAAAATGTATGAAGCACTCAACACGAGAAACCCTGATGATACATCTTTCACTATATTAGATAAATCCGACAAACCATCAATCTCTGAAATCTTTACTCTTCCCAATGCTTATGGAGACATTATATGATTTTCTTCTATATATTACTGAAGCTATAAAACTATGATTCTCAAACACTTGTAAATATAATGCATGTTATGCAATTTAACTGGGGAATGTACAACTACTAAGGTCTCGTTTGACAGCTCGGACTGTATTGATTATTTCAGTCGGATATGATAAATAACCACTAGATAATACTGACTAAATTAATCTGGCATTTGGAGTAGTATCGGACTAACGACCGTATTAATTATACTGTGCTTGGTACCGGATAAATTATGATGTGCTTGGTACCGGATAAGAGGAATTCATTGTATTATTACTTTTAAGATAAAAATGAATGATTAATGGAATAAAAGGGAATTTTTTTAACACTTAATAAAATTCACAACCACCAAATAGATCAGATTAAAAAAGAACGAAATCTTTCTTTATTTAAATCAAGTTACTTCTCTTCGTCTTCCCCAGGTTTCTCCGCTGCACCGCCCACCAACAACCTCACTCCCCATCTCCTTAAAGTTCTTGGCTCAAAGAGGCATTGCTTGAAATGCAGAGTCAAGCAGATCTTCCCCTTCTATACATCTGAAACTAATCCAAAAAATACCCAGAAACTATGGAAATTAAATCACAATCAGAAAACGAAAAAAGGAAGATAGGCAAAATCGTAAAACCCAGATGAAATCTTTCCGAATTTTCAAATCCTATCATCGATTCCAAGTCAAGGTTCTAAAACCCAGATGAAATCTTTAAGTTCGGAGGGAGGAAGGGAAAGGGAGCAATGGAGGTACCTTTGACGAACTCTTAGAGTTCAGAGGGACGAAGAGCGGCGATGCCAATCGGGTTCTGGGCGCGGATACGGTTGTCTTCCTGTTCTTCTTCTAAGGCTCTCAGGCTCGGGGGAAACATAAAGACGGGAGGCATTTCACCTTAAAGTTCTTGGCTCACCAACAACCTCACTCCCCATCTTCTTAAAGTTCTTGGCTAAAAGAGGCATTGCTTGAAATGCAGAGTCAAGCAGATCTTCCCCTTCTATACATCTGAAACTAATCTAAAAAATACCCAGAAACTATGGAAATTAAATCACAATCAGAAAAAGAAAAAAGGAAGATAGGCAAAATCGTAAAACCCAGATGAAATCTTTCCGAATTTTCAAATCCTATCATCGATTCCAAGTCAAGGTTCTAAAACCCAGATGAAATCTTTAAGTTCGGAGGGAGGAAGGGAAAGGGAGCAATGGAGGTACCTTTGACGAACTCTTAGAGTTCAGAGGGACGAAGAGCGGCGATGCCAATCGGGTTCTGGGCGCGGATACGGTTGTCTTCCTGTTCTTCTTCCAAGGCTCTCAGGCTCGGGGGAAACATAAAGACGGGAGGCATTTCACCACATTCACTGGTTCACACACACAGAGAGAGAGAGAGAGAGAGAGAGAGAGAGAGAGAGTAGAAGAGTAGAAGAACAGAGCCAGGGAGATCAACGCCGGCCAGGGACGATAGAGGCGATCGGGAGAACAGAGCCGAACATGGGAGAAACGTGAGAACATAGCCAGCCAGAGGAGACGGGGAGAATGTAAGGCGATCAGAGGGCCAGAGGGCCGAAAATAGCCTGAAAACCATCTCTAACCGAGGGCTAGGCCAGAGGGCTCTGGAATTTGAGAGGGCCCCACGGAATCGGAGAGGGTCGGAAGACTGGAGGGCTGTGGCTGGCCATTTTTTTTTAATGTTTTGT